GACTTTTGTTTATGTTAGTTTACCCACATTAACAATTTATAATAATTTTATTTCAATCGGGTACAATTATTATTTTTTGTTTTGATTTGTTAATTTCTGACCTAATATGTGTGTATTTTTTTATACAACTTTATTTATATTATTTATTGCATTCGACAAAACATACATCATATTATTATTATTATTATCATTACCATTATATTATTTCATCGTAAGCCACGAAGTTGTTCTAAAAATCCAAACAATTTCACAAGCACATGCCATTTGCTATACCAACGATTTGGGCCGAACCAACGGATGATGTATGCGATTGTTATTTTTCTAACTGAAACAAAAAGCAGAAGTCTAAATCCAAACACACTACCCAGTATTCAAATATGTATTCGTATCTCGTTCTAAGTCAGCACTATAAAGATGATCCAAGTTAATTTGAAAAGAACCCCAATTATTGACACAATGAGTATGTGATTTAAAACTATCTAAAAAACAAAATTTTTAGGGTCTAGATCAAACGACTAAAATTCTTATAATAGAGAGAGGTTACAGCAGGCCATTTTCTGAATGGAGGAAACTTAACAAATAGCAAAAAACAAAGGCAAATACTTACGAAAATTATAAGTATATTTGCTATATTAAGCAATAATTTTGTACTTTTTAAGAAAATATATCTTAGATGTCATAATAGAATTTAACGTGGCAATTTCTTTCAATCACATATTATTTTTTAGTGACCCTAGTACATTAAAAATTGTATACGAGTTTTCATGTGACAAGAAAGTTAAAATTTTGTTAACCAATGCTGTTATATTTTAATTTATTTTTAGAGTATTGTTCAAAAATGGTTATATAAAAACAGTAGTAAACATTTTTTTCAGAAATATAATAATCAGCATTTCAATTCGATCTTATAAATGTGTAATATTATATTAACCAAAAATTTCAAAACTGTGAAAATTTTTACTTAAAAATATAAACCCTAACTCTTAATTTTCTACAACAAAAGGAATTTCGAAATAGCTGTTGCCAAATTATGTTCCAAAATGATTTTCGAAAGAATTGTTTAATTGACTTTGAAATTTTTTTAAGATGAAATATTATGCTCGCAATCTAATAAAATGTATAAGAAAACTTATATCTATTTATTTATTTGTTAAAACACAATTTCTTTAATATTTATGTAAGTAAAAATTTATAATATGTATTGTTAAGTGACAATTCGACTAGACCAAGGTCGACAATTTTTGGAAGCAAAAAAAAAATTATAGTGGAATTAAAGCTTTTGGCAACGGAAGATAATATTACAAAATATATAGCGTATTATAGTGCTATGAATGGAAGAGAATGGAGAGAAGCATGGTTGAAATTTTAAGGTTAAACGCGGTTTATCCCGACTTCTGGCAAAACTACGATTTTTTCAGACAAAATATTAAAAAGATCTATAATCCTTATATCAAAACGTTTCTCACATAATCTCAAAATACTATATTTGAAAAATTCAAATAACTATTTTTCGATTTTTTTATATTATATTTTAACTTCCTTCATGACATTTGGTGTAAACTTATCCTCTTATGTTCCAAATACACTTTTTTTGGTATTTCCAAAATAGTTTCCACACAATACTCAAGTTTTTAAAACCTTACATTTATCCCGCTTTTATATATGTAAGTCCTAAGCTTCAACCTAATTTTTGGTTAGTTGTTTGGTGTCACACGATAGAAGAAAAAACCAAAATTGGCATACGTAAATCATGTCTGCCCATTTTGATGTCGAAAAAAGTTCGGAATGACCTTCCCGATTAAACAAGTGAGTCAATTTATAATAATAATTGATTCTGTAATAAAATACTGCTTATTAAAATCTTCCGAAATATATTTCGTTTATTAAAATATTTTTCGGTATTCGAATAAAATAAGCAATTTACGGAATTTATATTCATATTTACAAGCGTCATATGGAAGATAAATATAATTTGAGTAAATTAGACATAATTTAATTTTGACGAGAGAATTAACTAGCACAACTCCCTCAGGTGAGCAATCAATGATTCAATGATCGTTACGAGTAACACGAACTCAACTGTAATTAGTAGATTTGGGAATTTCATTACGAAATTATCGGATGCGTCACCATTGACCGATTAGGGGTCGTCGCTCTCAACGCCGCCTCAATGTTTTCATGATTACTGACGGCCTTACGACGATTTTGCCAACTTGTGGAACCTGTGAGCTGTTCAGCCTCGGCTTCCTTCCGTGATTCGCGTTACCACTTTGCCCACACTTTCATTTGCTAACAATTTAACCTGACAATTAACAATCATTTGTCATTTTTCTGGAACATGAATGTAGCGCTGAATAGCTCACAGCCGCTCAGCGAAATGACGCCACATGTGGCTGACTGCGAACCAGTATGAATTAGCACCGAACAGCTACAAAACCAACATACGCACATACATATGTAGATATGAATGCAAAATAAGAACACACAACAAATAACTGCAATAACAACGGCAACAACAAACAAAAGCAACAGAGGCAGTACGAGATGTGGAATGTGTAGAAGTGAAATTGAAATCATGAAATCATTGTGAATCGCACGAGTTGGCGCGGTCATTGAACCCTCGGCGCAAACGAAAATAATATTTTTATAGACAAATTTTGTAAAGTGTTTATAAGGTTCCCAGTGGCAAACAGGCACAGCAGCGGCGCTAGGAGCAGCAGCAGCAGCAACAACAATGACCACGATCAGCCAGAACCGACCCGAAATGTATAAACATCGACCAAAATAAGAAAAGCGAGTTCGCGAAAATCTCGATCACTCGGCACACGGGCGAACGTAGGTAAATGATGTGTTATTGATCTTGGAGCATTCACGCACGCCTTCGCCTACTCAATTTGTAATGTGTTCGACCGATTATCCCACCCACTGTCCAACGAATCATGACACGAACATATATATGCCTGCTAAAAATATACGCTTTTCGGATTTTTCTATTTCAATTGCTTAAAAAAATACGCTACAAATTATGTGGTATAACTGGACCATTTAAGACTGAAGTTTCGTCCGACTACAAATTCGTCTATATTCGGCGCAACAAACCCATTATTCTCTAACTAATGTTATTACATATTCCTCAAAATAATGATGGAACCTCTCGCATAGCTTCAAATGTCATTATAAGTTATTAGAAAAAAATAAATTCCAGTCGTTCAATGTAGACGCTTTTAGTTGAGCCTGAGCCATGCGAAAATTTCAGTATATTTTCTAAAAACAGGCCGTGGTGTTCAGAAAGAGTTTCTCGAGCATCTGTAGTCATCGCATACTCTCTCCCCTTCATAAAATATTTTCCCTCTGGAGATGAACGGGCTCTTACAATCTCAACCCTGGCGTCAGTGTCCACCTTCTAACTTGTACTCTGAATCGCTGTAGCACAAATTACAGCAAATTTCGGCAGAAAACAAGACAACTTCTCCCGCTCATGAGCACATGGAACACAAGATCAAATGCTCGACGCTGTGCTTCACTGCACCGCAGCCGAAAAACATCCGAATTACGGCCGCCCTTGGTGTGTATTCGTGCAGCCGAGTGGCCTACACGATCGCACACACACGCATACATTGCAAGTGTCAAAACATATGGTTGCCTCACAAGCCTATTGGTAGGCATGTAATCGCTGGCATTTGGTGAGTGCGAATCTGCTCTTCCAGCACACATGTGTGCGTGTGCAGTCTACTTTGTAAATGTAAGTGTACTCACATGTGTTTGCAAGTATGAGATCGTGCATTTTGCCAAAAATGCTGCCTTCGCATGCGTTTTACACTCTGCTTCGCTGCTAATTCGGTTTCCATAGCTTTTCTGAGTGCGTTTTTGTGACGTTTGCTTTGTTGCTATTTACTGCAGTACATATGTGTCAATACGAGTATATAGGCCTCGGCGCATTCACTGCAAAAGCTCGACACACAGGCGGCGAGGTGTGACCGGTGCGGCGCTCCGAAGCATGCAGCAAACTCTTTCGTCGCCGTCGTGTCGTCGGCCGCTGCAGGGGTTAATGTCAGACTGTGCGGCTATTGTTGTGACTACAAATTCGCCAACTCAGCAATGCAAGCGATCAACGCGCCGAATTCGGTGAAGTCGACTGCGTTGGCAAAGGGAATCATTTTGGGCTTTACAGTGCGACTCTCACTAAGTCGAAAATTGGCCGCTGCACTTAACGAAGCTCAAGTCACAAACGGGCGGAGCCACACAAATTGGTATACGCCATCGCGAATTAGACATATGTATGTATGTATGTATTTAGCAAGCATGGAGATGAAGGAGCGCACATATGGGGTGCATTTCGATTTTGGGTAACTGAACCGGAGAATCTTGAAAGCACTGTCTCATCAAATGCCCATACATTTGATGTAATTGAGCTGCAGCATTAGCGCTGCCTTGGGTAGTGTTGCAAAGCTGCGATCGCCCGTGCTGCGCAACATGGAGTGTAAGCGTGTACGTGTACATGCTGCTGCGGTCTTCAAGCGGTCTCTCGCGATTTCGTCGAAAGTAGTCTAGATACTCTGCTGCTTTTTCATCGCTGCACTTGTGGTGGGCATAGGTACTTTCCCCGCGGTGTGCGAAGCTATTTTCCCTAATGTCGAGAGCGTTAACCGATTTTTTTGCACACATACACACGCGGCTGCGTCGCAGCGTGCCAAACCTCAAGAACACGTACACACAAGCAAACAATATCAAAACAAAAATGTGCAAATTCGCCTAAAAAAAATATTGGAATATGCAACAACAACAACAACAACGATTACAATAATAACAGCTGTAACACTCACAGATAACTGCAATGGCAACAGCGGCAGCAGAAACGAAGCCAGGCAGTGGCTAAGGGGACGTCGTCAGCGACCGTCAATGCGACAGCGACGAAAAGCAGGAAACTCTCCGAATCAATTGGACAGGCTGACTGCGCTTTTTGCGAATTCAGTTGAGTTTTTTAATTCGGTCGGCGCACAGTAAAGGTTCTGTAACTAAAAAGTTAGTGAGCTAAACGCATTCGCGTCAGTTTAGTGCGCCCAGGCCGAACGTAAATTACAAGCATACGCGCAGTCCTACAGCGTTCACCAACACAAGTGCACACGCCTATATACTTAGATACATACACGCTCAAGTACTGATACGCTTGGCGCTTAGCTTACTAGCTAAGTGAGCGCACGCAAGTGGACTTGCGGATATAAAATTTTACGCAAGAAACGGAATACTTTTTCGCCACACAACAAATTTAGACGCGCAACAAAACGGAAGGAACTCGGAAAGCAAAACAAACGCTCCCGAGAAAGTCCAAAACTTCAAGCAATTGTGATCTAATTAAACGGTTATATAAATCAATATTAGACAATCGTCGGTGAAACAACCAGAATTGAACTCAACTAAATCCAAAGCAAAGGATACAAACATTGAACGACGTATCAAGTGAATTTACTAAAAAAAATAAAAAAATAAATAGTGAAAAATTATTTTAAAAAAGTGCGCCCAGAAACATTTATCCTCGGCCACATTGAACTTGAATGACAAAAATGGAACACAAATTGCCAAAATATTTCAACAAAATTTTGCTCATTACGTAGTGCAACCCATACATAGTACAGTGTAAGTACATGCCCTTTACAACGTCGACGGTTTTAATGTGAACACCATTTAATTAAAAAAGGAATATCATTATTTTTGTTTTACAAAAAAAGCAAAATTAAAAGTGAAATCATTTGTTTTACACCAACTAAGGCATTTAATGGTCTAATTATTAGTTAAGGACTTGAAAAACTCTCAATTAATGCAAACAGAAAGAGTGAAGCTAAAAGTATTTAAATAATGAATCAGTGTTGAATAGTAAAATACGGAATGATAAATGAGAAATGCGAAGGAGCCTTCAAAACCCAAGTCTAGGTTGTTTCCCTAATGTCTACCTCCAAAATATTGTGCGATATTGTCATTAGGTATTGCGTTACAGAGTTCCCGAATTTTTTAGATGCTGAAAGCGGGCTTTGCTCGTTAGTTGAGAAACAAAGCTAAATATTTTGTTGATACTTGCATTAAACTAATGTGAGCCGTTATCATGGAATCGCAGTTACCAAGTTACTCTTTAACAAACCGCTAAACCAATCAGTGGTTGGGAATTCCACAAAAGACTGCAAATAATATAAAATAAGAATACGCGCTAGTTGTTTAGCATTAATATATGAATGTACATATGTAATGGACAGCAGCGAATTCTGTGCCAGTAATCGACTGATTTAGCAGCCACCCTTCTACTTATTACAACAACGACTTCAATTCGCTAATGAGTTCGGTTGGAAACTTTAGTTTTATCATCTTCCCTTTGTGCCTAGATTTCATCACGCACATATCTTTATTAATCCGTCCGTTTCGTATTTAGCATATCAGTTCTTCGCACACTCTCCCGATCTTATGACTCCAGCGTGTCGAGCCACGTCGCGGCGTTGTCACTGCAGCTGAAAGTTTGTGCAGTGCTTCTTGATCTTCACTGTCGGGCTGCATTTATTAGCGCACAAGTGTGTATGAGTCTGTGTGTGTGTAGAAGGACATTTGAGTCATCCCTACCCCCATCCGCAGCGCATTTCTGTGGCTTTTCGTTTGTTTTGTGTTTTTCTTTTTTGTTTTATTTTTTTGCACTTCTTCTTTATTGCCACTTCCCTGAGACTTTGTCGTCTCTTTCTGGTTGCTTCAGCCACTTTTTATTATCAATTTGGTTTTCACTTTTCATTTGCGATTTTTTACACCATTTAACTTCGCAATTGGTGATCGCGTACTCCCTTTTTCTGGTTCACGGTCTTTGCTATTTCTCTCAAGCGGCGGCGCTTTATTATACTCTTTCGTTCTTTCGTACACTTTTTCGTCCGTTTATCCGTGCGTGCGTGTATCCACTTGAAGCCAGCGCCGTTAGTCAGTACGCCATTTAGTCAGGGAGGCGAAAGACCAGCCGCACTCAGCCAGTTAGTCAGTAGATGCGTTGCGCTGCAGATACTCGACTCGCATTTCGTCCGTTGTAAATTTTCTTCCTCAGTTCGACACATTTATTTCGTGCAGCAACATCGGCGACGGAAACCATGAGAAGCGAAAAATGTGAATGTTGCAACGGTATTCGTTAAAAAAAGTAATTCTAAGAACCGCAATAGTATAATTAAACGACCGATTGCTAAGTGAAAGCTTCTGACTTTCGACGCCCGGAGGAGGTGGACACTAAACGCCGGGGCTACACATTTTTTGGCAAAATTTTATACAGCTTTCCGAATCTTCGGTAGCAGATAGCAGTCCGACTGGTTGTATCGAAAAAGCGACTCTACAAAGCGGAAACGCAATGCGAAACGGGACGTAAATTGGACAGTGTGAAGCATTTGAAGGCTCCTTCAGTATTTTTGTTTTTGCTTATTGCTTTACAACGCAACAGCTCAGGTTCTTCTTGTTAGTATTTATTGTTGTTTTGCCTTCGCTTGTGAAGAACAAGCGATTTGTTAAACCTCTAACGCCATAGCTCATAAAATATACATCCATATACATCTAATATCTAAGTACAGCCCTAACACACACATAAGGTAACCTCAACCAGCTCAGGATCACATAACGGGTAAGTACTTATAAAAGTCAAACTTCATTTGATAGTTAAAAGCGCAAAAATGGAGAATACGAAGAATCTGTAAGCAAGATTTAAATCAGAATATTTCAAAGTACTCAAAATGATTAAGTGAATCGATCAATTGGTTTGTGGTTTTGGAGTATTTTGCATCCAAGGCCTTTTTTGAAAGTTTTTCCGTTAAACACAAATTAAAAAAGCTTTATTTTTGAAAAATTTACTGTTGTTTTCACATAATGCGACAAAACGTCACGAAATAACAAATAGGCTTTAAGTATACAGACGTAGCTCTACTTCTTAGTATTCGAACGAGGTGTGAATAGATGAATGTTCTTGCATTCGCTTTCGCTTTCGTTTACCGTAACAATGACAAAAACGACGTTAGTTGCAAGTACAAGTCATATCCATTCAATTTAACTTTGACTGATATAACAAATACATTTGTATATACATAAAAGCTTGCCACCATATGTATGTAATTCATCTCAGCACCATCCGATAAGAGACTAATAAACAAGCGCACTCCCCTCCATTCGAAAGAGGTGTCAGCAATCACCTCCAACACTCTTTCACTTTATCAATTGCGTAAATATGTTATGTCCGTTGTTGTCTACACATGGTGCAAATAAGTCCATGTAGGTGCAATTGTGGAACGACAAAATCCACTTAAATAAGAATCACGCTGCCAATTGGCGTTCTGTGCGACTATTCTATGTTACATTTGCTGCATGCAACATATGTAAGTGCAACACACGGCAGCCAACAGTAGCTTAAGCATGCACATAAACTCATAGCATGGCACAGCAAAGCTGGTCTGGCAAGACAATCAGCCGGGAGACCAAACAGCAATGGCAACAATAGAGAGAAGGGAGTGGATGCAGCAACGACAATCCAGCTACTGCGGAATCCAACTACGAAAGGGGCTACAAGACGAGAACAGAGTGTGGACTCCCCCAAGAGGAAAGTCATAGGTGCGCAGCTGGAAACTGCCAGCTAGACCGAGATCAAGACAGAGGCCAAAACCGTGTCAGTGCCAGTAGAGCAGACCCAGACTGGCCATATGACGACACGACAAGCGCGCGTGCAAACATATTGTATACATTCATCTATAACTGTATGTGTATGTGTGCCATAAAAGCGGTGACGTAATGCCAACTACTCCACTAACACATTTTTCTGCATTCCTGCTGCAACGGCGGCAACTACATCCTCGGTCACAGCCAACGTTTGCAGCGCTGCAGCTGCGCTGTCACGCCTAGACGCAAAGCTGCACCGAATGCAGTCGTAAATATTGCAGAAGAGTCAACACAAAAATAGGAGCAAAGGAGAAGGAGTAAACACAAGAATAGCAGAATAGCCGGCAAATAAACCGGCGGAAGGCACAAACTACACAACAACAACTCTTATCAACATAGAAATAGAGAAAGAGTGGAATGTAAATAAATGACACCAACAACGGTGTGACCATGGGCGTGCGTGGGGATAGGAGGGGAGAGCGGAGGAAATGCGTACAAATGTCAGGCGACGTGCCTGTGCGTCGTACGCATAGAGCCACTCTAGTCATCACGAATGCCATTGCCAATGCCACTGTGCCACAAACCCAGACACTATCGCTTCAACACTCATGGAACTGACTAGATGCGACCAGCAAAGCAGTTGCCTACATATACTCGTATTTGCAATGTACATAAGTATGTAAATACATATGTAAAGAGTGTAAGTGAGCACAGAGTTTTGAAATAAATCTTACGGCCGACTATGAATACAGAAACAAGAATATTCTGCTTCAAAAACCGCACACATATATATGTATAGTACATCCGCGTAGGTCAGACGGGCAACGGGCAGCTGCAGGGCTTTATGGTTAACCAGTCAGCGCAGCTACACACTCTATGAGTTGCATTAAGTTCCTACTATGGCTCTGCAAGAAAATGTAGGCGAAAATTCTTCCATGATTCATTAAAGACTTTTTCTACAAGAGACCCCAGTTGTTGGGTTTTAAAATGGTTTAAACCTCTTCTGCCGATTTTCAAAGCTTCACGTATTGAACCTAAGAGCTCAAATAATATAATCTAGCGTTAAAAATACAATCAGCGACGGTTTGTGAATACGAAGCTCTGGAGCTATCTTTCCTGGCAGAGTTGTCTAGTTAAAAAAGTATTCAAAGTTAGAAAAGATATTGAAATTGACACTTTCGAAATCACCGCTGATATAAACTTCCGCATTCCCAGTTATTAGATAAGGTAAAATCTTTAACAGTTATCTTGCCACAGTTCCGACTGGGTTTGTGATCTTGACTTTCGGTAAACTTCGCGAACATTTGGTTTGCTCGCCAATCCGTACCCGTGAGTGTGAGTATGCGGAGCCTGTGTAATGCATTTTATTGCATTGAATATATATACATATACACATACATATACACAGATGTGTCTGTGGTTGTTTGCACAAAAGCTAGTATGCGAGTGCACATGTGTACCTTGGTGTATGAATATGGGATCGGCCGATCAGCAGCCACTTATCCACACAGACATGTGGCAAAAATAGTTGGTGCTAATAATTTTTCAAGGTTTTGTATTTCAGACGGAAAATAAACAAATCAATTTGAAGAAATAAAAAGGAAAGGAAAACGAAAACAACGTTCAAATAAACGCGAAGTCATTAATAAAGGAAGCTTTGTGCGTCAACTGTCAACTGCAAAATAAGGGAATATTAGATGAGAAAGAAGGGAACAGAATGCATAAAGAAAAGAGGGGGAAACCAAAAACGAATTAATCGATTAATGATCGACAACGTCTACCAAGAAATAATGAATTCATTTGAAACATTAAGTTGCCACAAAAAGCGGAGAATGAAAGCGATCAGCAATCGAGGTGGCTATTGAAGGGATACTCCCACCATAAGCGCCCTCGTGTACGCATATTCAGTTCACATGCACTTTTTGTCGCCATCCTTGTTGTTGAGGAACGGGGTCAATGCGACCGTATGGCTTCTCGGACCATAC